AATCCATGTTTCACCCAGTGGCCACACCGACATTGGAAAACAACAATCAGATCACATCACTGTGCTTCCTTAAACACTCTCATGGCTTACCGCAGCCAGAATGAAACCCAGCTTCCTTAGGGCAGCCAACATACCTTTGCCTTATCTCTGCAATCTCACTTGCTCCTCTGCCCCTTTATTCTCACCTTTCCAGCCCCATGGTCTTCTCACAGTTCCGGTCTGCAGAGAAGCCTGAGCACAGTCCCAGACAGCAGACAGCAGGCAGTATTTTACAGTACATGCCATGGGGAGGAAAAAAAAAAAAGAAAAGAAAAGAAGGACAGAAAAGTATCTTATAGCCGACCAGTTTGTTTTCCTTTTATGGAAGCTACCAGAAGACATATGCTAATAGGTTTTAGAAGAAGTAGAAATCTTGCTTTGAAGGTTGGAAAAATATAGATTGCATATGGGGGGAAATACATGGGACAGCCATGTTCCCAGTCTCCAATGGGGGTGCCCTGAGCATCTTCAAGCTTTTGTGTTTGTCCTCATCTCCTTTGAATCTAAGGACAGGGTCCTGGAGAAACTCAACCAACACAATTTAAAAGGGTTCTTGGTCAGTATAGCTATTTGCATTCAAAGGAAGTCATTTTTGAAGTGTTCCTTTCGGAATTCCAATTAGAGATTTAAAACATACCCGCACATAAATGGGAAAGCTTTAAATTGAGGTGTAGAATCATATTGAGGTTACTAACTTAATAGTATTTGAGCCATCAAGTAAATGTTCCATAGTACTTAGTTCATAACACATTTCAAGTTACATCTGGGCTAGTTTGGGTTAATAGTCCCTTTAATTATTCTAATGAGGCTTACTTGCTTGCCAAGCTATATTCTCATTCCATTTAGCCGATTATACTACCGTATATATTTTGATGAGCTCCCTACAAGTGGTACAAAGGGAGTCACTTCTGTCCAAGAGAGATGAAAGTTTACCTTTGTGCCTCGGAATTCATGCATTTATTCCACAAAGATTGACGAACACCGACTGTGTTCCTCGGCTGAGCACTGGAGACAAAACACGAACAAGACACAGTTTATACCCAGTTAGCATGCAGAGCGTAACTGGCAAAAGGCAGGCTCCAGGAGCATTGCATGGAAGCTGAGACACAAGGAAAAGTCAGCGTGAGCCAGGCAAAGTTTGAGTCCCCAACGGAGGAAACAGCCTGAGCAGAGACCTGGAGGCAGTGACCATGTGGCATTAGCATCCCAGATGGACTGGCTTTTATTGGGTAGTTCATCTTGACCTTGCAGATTTCTGAGTCTCCAGGATCCTAGATTCCTCACATCTTTAGCTTAGGTAACCTTAAATGCCCAAGAACCCGGGTTCCTCAGCTCAGGTAAATTGAGGTTTACCTGTGCCAAACATCTTTCTTGTTCTCAGGTTTAAATTTCAAATGGGAAATCCTGGAGAAGCCATGCCCCAGCACCCCCAAAAAGTTAATAATGTACTTTTTGTGTAACTGAGGATAGATTCAAATAAAAATGATATGAAGTGCATAGCCAATGAAAGTGTAATTCAAAAGAAACTTATTTTAGTAACTGTGTTGAATTACTTTAATCCTGGATTTATGAAATCATTTGGGGCTTAAAGGGGCGACTTTAATTTTTACTTGTACTTTGCCGCATTTTACTAGAATAAGGTTCACGAGGGCAAGAACCTTTGTTTTGCTTCATTGATGTTTTCCAAATGCCTGGAATAGTACTTGGCACACCGTAGGCACTCAATAAATAACTGTTGAAAGATATAGTGCTCTTATAGAGGAATCACATTCTGTGTAAGTTTCCTACATCCTGGACTCTTGACTATCAAGGGTCCATAATACTCCAATGAAAGAGGGGTTGGGGTTCCCTCAGAGTGGGCTGCAATAGTCCCAATGTTGCAAAGAAACCAAGGACAACATTGGTAAAAGGAGAGGCCTGTGGGGCTTATGATTACCTCATCAAGGTTTAGGATAAAGCTCTCTTTTTTGGTAAATGTTGTCTATATATGGCATATGGACATGACTCTTAATCTAGTCAATCCCAAGTGTTCTGTAAATCCACTTACTTTATATTCAAAGCTCTATCTTGCAGGAGTGGGGGAGGAAGGCAGGAATTAGCCCTCAGTCTTTATTGGGGAAACACACACACATACACAGTTGTGCCAATATCCCTGGGCCAGGGGTCAGACTGGCTACGACTGAGAAGCCCATTGTTCCAAGGGCTTCAGTTTCCCTGAACACCCTGGTTTCCCTGGACGCTCCACACAGCCATCCTCTCTGTGGTCCTGATACCTTTCGGGGAGGGTACGGTCCAGCCAGTCATGTGATTGTCATGATTGTCTATTTCAGTCTCTGAGATGCCCTTGAGCACTTTGAGCCCACAAAGTCAGCCTGCTAGCCTGTCCTCCTTTCTGGATCCATTGCATCATTTCAATGAACTCAACCACCTCTGCTTTGTGCCCAGCAGAAAAATCCCCAAGGCAAAAGAATATAGTCCGGCTACCAGCATGCAGATAGAAGCGGGACAGAGAGGACGTGAAGAGAACAAATAGATCGTCTCAATAAATTATTCTCTTCCATGCAGGACCGAGCGGCCATTTCAATCATTCTTCATTGATAAGCCAATTAAGAAAACACTCCTAAGAGAAGTCCAAGGACTGGGGACCCAATGCCTGACTTGGGCAACATTTGCTCACAGTAAATAGAAAGCAAGGAACCATTGGGCACATCACTCCTTGCTCTGAGCTCACTTTGGCTGGAAGGCAGGGGGGGCTCTGTTTTTGCCAGCACACGTTTGAATGTAACTGAACCCCCCCTGGCTTCTGGGCATCTTTGTGGTGTGTGAACCCTTCAACCTTCTGTCACTCGAGGCTTTTTTCCATTCTCACCTCGAATCCCTAGGAAGCTTCTCAGAAACTTCAAAAGTCACTCACTCAGACACTGCTTTGGTGGTTGGAATATAAATGTTGAAGTGTCTTGACATCTTCTATGGGGATCTTTAAAGAAGACTTCAAAGAAACAGCTCTCCTGCTTTGAGCATTTCCCACATAAGTAATAAATGAAAATAATTCCCCTTGCTATATGTCTCTGATCTCATTCAGAGGGATGGGTTTATTAAACAGACCTGAGAGATTGCTGAGGAATCTCTCCACAGGCCCCGAGAGCCTGTGTGGTCACTGGAATCATTTAACCTCTTCCAAAAGGCTTATGTGACAATAGGTGGACACTGTCATTTGGAAATCAGGCTTTATTTGTAGGGGACGGGAGGGGGGAGGAGGTAGATGATCATTATCGTTATCCTTCCGCAAGTACCAAAGCAGCTTTTATAATAAAGAAAAACATATCTGGCACGAAAATAAAATCTGAAACAATTTCTTACTTCCGAATATGGCATCTTCCCCTTTTTTACAGAGTAGCATTAGCACACCTTGTGTGCAGGAAACAGGATAATGTCAGAGGGAAAAGGAAAAGCTTAGAAGTTCGCTAGTGTCCACCCTTCTATTTAAAAATAAGGAAACACAATAGAAGGATTTTAACTTTTGTCCTATACCCTGACATAGGAAAAAGATTGAGAAAAAAATGAAGCAAATTGAGTCGGAGTCTGATCCTCAGCTCCTTATCATAAAAATAGAATAAAAGTCCCTGTCTCACAGAGCTTTTGAGAAGGTTAAGTGAAATCACACCGGGGCACCTGGGTGGCTCAGTCGGTTGAGCATCCGACTTTGGCTCAGGTCATGATCTCACTGCTCATGAGTTTGAGACCCGCACTGGGCTCTGTGCTGACAGCTCAGAGCCTGGAGCCTGCTTCAGATTCTGTGTGCGTGTGTGTCTCTCTCTCTGCCCCTCTCCCACTCACTCTGTCTCTCTCTCAAAAATAAATAAAAACATTAAAAAAATTTTTAAATGAAATCATACCTGGGGGGAAAAAAGACATAGCCCACTTACTGGCACACCTTCAGTGTGAAATAAAAGCTAACTACTAAGGAGGTTACCACAATGCTGGCCCAGAACAGGGACCTCAATCCAGCTGCACATCAGAATTTTCTGGGATATTGCTTCAAAAATACTCAAGCCTGGGCCCTGCTGCAGACATTCTGAGTCAATCGGTCTGAGGAGGGGCCTAGCTTAGATGTGGCTGAGAAATTCACCAGGTGACTTTCTTTTTTAATTTTTTTTAATGTTTATTTACTTTTGAGAAAGAGAGACACAGTGTGAATGGGACAGGGGCAGAGAGAGAGGGAGACACAGAATCCGAAGCAGGTTCCAGGCTCTGAGCTGTCAGCACAGAGCCCGACGTGGGGCTCGAACTCACAGACCCCGAGATCATGACCTGAGCCAAACTCGGACGCTTATCCAGCTGAGCCACCCAGGCGCCCCTCACCAGGTGATTCTTCATGTGCAGCCAAGATTGAAACCCGCTGGCCTAGGAGGTCCAGGGACAAAGGAGAGACCGTGGTTCCTTAGCATGGGCTGACTACCAGATAGATGATAAAGGAAGAGAGAGGAAAAATTTTTAAATACTATGGAAAGAAGTTTGAAAATGACACACACGGGGCGCCTGGGTGGCGCAGTCGGTTAAGCGTCCCACTTCAGCCAGGTCACGATCTCGCGGTCCGTGAGTTCGAGCCCCGCGTCAGGCTCTGGGCTGATGGCTCGGAGCCTGGAGCCTGTTTCCGATTCTGTGTCTCCCTCTCTCTCTGCCCCTCCCCCGTTCATGCTCTGTCTCTTTCTGTCCCAAAAATAAATAAAAACGTTGAAAAAAAAATGTTTTTAAAAGAAAATGACACACACAAATAGCAAGTGTGTGGCTGCCACAAAAGATAAATTATAACCAACCTGATGGAAGCAACTAGTAAGCCTTAGCAAGAGTCTTACTAAAACAACAGAATTCCTCCCTGTGCACATGGGTAAGGAGACCTGTTACCACTGCGGAAAGAAAGCACACCCAGACTAACAAGAGGGCAGTCATTTAATGCAGAAATCCAGTTAACAGAAAGAGACAGAGATTAACCAACAGGGAAGACATCGAACAATACTGCATAGTGTCACGGATTAGCTCTTACACGGTTGGTCTGTTCTTCTTAGGATTTGGATGCCGGTACAAAGACAGAGAAGAGACTTCCATTAAAAATAAATAAATAAATAAATAAGGCAACAGAAGAGGAATCTTCCCGTGACAAGGAACACCCACCAATGATGCACAGATATTTGGTGCTGACACAAGACACCATTAGGACACGTGCCGAAGGGACCGCATTAAAACTTAACAAGCGTGGTACAATGACAAGAAAATTATACTTGCTTTGTTACGAACCCTTTTGCAAATAGAAAGGACTCTCGGGTAATTGTTATATACAAACTTTCTGAAATAAACGGCAATCATACAAATTTTCCCATTGCAATTTCCCCTTTTTTCTAAACCTAGAAATGTTCCATGGCACTGCTCCCAATTTCTCACAGTCAAAGCATAAATAGTCATTAAAGCACTTGAATCCACAGTAGTCTTGTCCGTAGAAAGGTATGGAGGTTTTGCATGATTTTCTATCAGTCGTCCAGAAAGGGCTGGCAGGCAACGGTTCGGAACGTAAAAGACCGCTTTGTGCTTGGGATCCCGACTTGAATTCCACCACGTTCCTCTCAGGAGTCGTCGGCACTGTGGACGGGCCACCGAGCAGTGAACTTGAGTGCGGACAGTCATACCGTGGAGTCCCTGCCAGACTTTAGATGTGCAATCTTGGTCCGGCTAATAAACGGATAAGCGATGCACAGACCTCCAGCTGCCACGATAAAGCCCAAACTGCACCAGGCACAAAAGATGGACCAGCTGTAGCCATGTTCCACGTCATCAGGCAGGCTATAAATGAGCTTCGGGAGCCGGTGCAAGTCGTAGGAGATGCTGGCAGCATACGTACAGAGGGAGATGGTGCAAAATATCCCTATAAATAATGCAAAAGAGAACACGGTTACGGTGTTGCCTGCTAGAAGGCAAGTGCCACACAGGCCTCTGTGAAAATCGGGCCAACTGATGAGGTGGTCACTCCAAATTTGTAAAGGAGCTGTAATTCCCGCACTGGAAGTCGCCTGAATTCGTTCCACAAACACTGGAGAAACTTTTGTGAGCCAGGCTGTACACGAGGTGTTGGAGGTAGAAGAGGAAAGAATACAGGAGGAAATTCCGACATCTTGAATTATTCAGAATTAGCTTGCTTGGATTTTATGTATGTTTGAACTTATTTTTGGCTTTTGTTCTTTTTTTTTTAATTTTTTTAATGTTTATTTATTTTTGAGAGAAAGAGAGAGAGACAGAGAGAGAGCATGAGAAAAGGAGAGATACAGAATCCGAAGCAGGCTCCAGGCTCTGAGCTGTCAGCACAGAGCCCGACGCGGGGCTCGAACTCACAGATCGTGAGATCATGACCTGGGCCGAAGTCGGAAGCTTAACCGACTGAGCCACCCAGGCGCCCCTTGGCTTTTGTTCTTAAAACAATAAAATAAAAATTCTAACTATTTTTGAGGAAACGATCTTTTCTATAATCACTCACACCTAATACGAGAGTCTTCCTTTCCCCTTGTTCTGTACGTGATGGGATACATTTTTATGCAGTTGCAAGCATCACACAAAGTCTATTTTCTTTTTCAATTACTATTTTCATTAGTATTTACCATGTTCCCTGTAAATAATATCTTACATGAAATTTTCAAGTGCTAAATTATGTTTTAAGGTACAGAGCATGGTATATACCAAGGCCTCAACAAATCATTGTAGGTTTTTTTCAATGGATGAATAAAAGCTTTTAAGTGATATAAATTAAATTCAGGATGTTGGAATTTGATGTAAAATACCTGAGTTAGGAGATAATATACTTCAACCATTCAGAATATAGGAGGCAGTTTGAGTGACATAAAGAAAATGGACAGGGACCCCTGGGTGGCTCAGTCAGTTGAGCGTCTGACTTTGGCTCAGGTCATGATCTCAGGGTTCGTGAGATCGAGCCCCATGTCCGGCTCTGTGCTGACAGCTCAGAGCCTGGAACCTGCTTCGGATTCTGTGTCTCCCTCTCCCTCTCTGCACCTCCCCTGCTTGCACTCTGTCTCTCTCAGAAATAAACATTTAAAAAAAAAAAGAAAAGAAAAAAAGAAAATGGACAGACCCCAAATTTTACTTTTTTGTACCAACACACGTATGTATAATTGTCTTTCCAGAACGCTAAAATCAAGACTTTGATAAAAATTCTCCAAACACAGTATTTTTTAGTACTTAAGTGATGTTCCAAGGATATAGACGGTCTATTCCACCACAATGGACTGCCAGGGGTGCTCCTTTTGATGGGCAGGGGATCAGAATGTGGCAGTTGCTGACCATGGGTAATGAAAACAGAAATGAACACCTAGTGCAGTAATGGGATGCCTAGTTCTGTTCCAAGTCTGGTGCCTCTCTGCTTCATACTTTGGTTTATCCCAGCGAACAATGGAGGTTGTATCTATTTGCTTGAAAATTGCATTGAGGATATATTGAGCATCTCCATAGGTAATAGACATAGATTTGAGGGCTAAAAAGAGAGGGCCTAAAGTAACAGATTTCCCTCCATCCTTTTTAATAGAGCTCTGGCGATCAGAAACACTAGCAGAAAACCAAATTCAGTGCAAGCAGCAATTGGGAGAAAATAAAGGTGACCTTAATGCCATTTTTAAGTGCCAGAATTCTGCCTGCACTTAAATCACATAAGGGCACATTGCCTGAATCCTTTTCCAATTGTGCATTTAGAAAAGAAATGTTTCAAATTAAGAGGATACTTGATCTGAGATAATTTGATATTTCCGACTCTTTGTCTAATTCTGTTTTTCCAAAAAGGATACAATCTTATCTTCTGACTTCCTGTTCCAGATTATTATGGCAAACATATCATTTTGAGTTCCCCAAAGATCAGATGGAAATAATTCTTCCATAAAGGAACAGGCCAGTCAAAAAATAATACTCCTCTGCTTTTTTCAAACCTCATGAAGAGCAAACGTTCTTACGTTTACATGAATGTTTTCACTGGCACCAAAACAAAGCCAGTGTTTCTATATAACAAAGTCCTTCTAAGGAATGCTGGTCATAGAACAATAAGGCAGTTAGAAAAAAATGATCTCTGGAGTATCAACAGGTAAAATATAATAGAACAATGACCCATTCATAGGAAAAACAACTCTATTCTGCATTCAGCTGTCTGCACAGAGCTGAATGCCTAAAAGCAAGGCTTTTTACAAGTAATGTAGGTTTAATGACCTCTGAAAACTTGAGTTCAAACTAAGACTTTTAAGCATTCTTTGATGTCCAAATGCATTGGGCTGAGATGCGGGAAATGTGTCTTCTGGTCCCCAGATCTACCGCTGATCACTGTGTGACCTTGAAATTACCCGAGTCTTAGTTTCCTCAACCGGGAAAAAGAAATGGGGACTTAGTTACTGCAGACCCTTACAGTATCAGATTTCTGTGATTCTGTTATTCCAAAATAAAGGCATGGAGCAAGAACATTCCCCACCCCCACCCCCCCACCAAAAAAAGAATGCCATGTATATACTATATATGTTCCCGTTGATTTTATACTGAACATTGATTTTATTAGCACCTCTCCCCTGCCAACTCCATAAAATTGCTTTTGGTGAAATGAATTTTAGTATAACACCACCGGTTTACACTGAATAGAAGCGGATTATAAGAAATCATCTACCCTGAAGGCTTAACCAGAAGGATGATTTTCTCTGCCCCTGGTGTCATGAATGATTGTGCCTTATGTCTAACGGAGCTCATGGAGACTGGGAAAGATGTCACTAACAGAAATTCCTTTCTCTGGGGCGCCTGGGTGGCTCAGTCAGTTAAGTGTCCGACTTCATTCAGCTCAGGTCATGATCTCATGGCTTGTGAGTTTGAGCCCCGCACTGGGCTCTGTGCTGACAGCTCAGAGCCTAGAGCCTGCTTTGCATTCTGTGTCTCCCTCTCTCTCTCTGCCCCATCCCCACTCATGCTCTCTGTCTTAAAAAAATAAATAAAACATTAAAAAAAAAAAAAAAAGAAATTTCTTTCTCTGACCAAGTTCCTGAAACTCCCTAAAGCTAATCAGTGGCCCACCATGAGCAAAAGTTGGATACTTCATGTCATGCTTTTTGCTACTGATCTCACCCTCGGACCCATCTTGCCTTGCAAACCCAATTGCCCCTTTGTCGTATTTGTATTACTTGTATTTATTTTATGGTGAAATATCTATGTCTCTCAAGTTCTTTTTGGAAGAGGGCACTTGTCAGATCTGGATGAAAACCTGCCTTATTTTCTGCTGCCTTTACTCACTTTGCTTAAAGTTGGCGGGAGGGTTACTGCGAACCCACAAAAATTCCCCCGTCTGCCCTTCTCCCTTCCCACCAGTGCTCTCACAAGCTGCCCTTCGGTGACATTTTTAATTCTTCCAAGATGCTTTTGAAATTGTTCTGAGAAAGAGGAAAGCAAAGATGAACAAAACAGCATATGCGAGAGTTCCTCTTTTTCAGACTCTCACATCGTTCAGAGAGCTTGAACATAGGTCGCTGCCACAGCTGCTTTTTGTGGGATGGGAAGGCCTGTTTGTGATTATTTCCAGGAAATGTACTGACAGGAGACAAAACATTGTTTCCACCTTGCCCAAAAAGACTTTATAAAAGAGGCCTAACCCACTGAAGATATTTTAAAAAGGAAAAAAAACTCCAACACTAAAGACACCAAGAAAGAGTGTTGATCATATTATAGGATTAAGGCCCACCTTCACGACCTTATTTTACCTTAATCACCTCTTTAAAGACCCCATCTCCAAATGCAGTCACACTGTGAAGTAAGGGGGGTTAGAACTTCAAACATCCGAATTTGGGGAGGGATACAACCCAGTCCGTAACATCATCTGTGGGTGTAGTCAATGCGTGAAGTATATTTCTATTCCTTTCATAGGTCTTAGCAAGAGTTTACTATTTTAAATGTTACTTGATCAGTTATTCAGTGATTAGTTATCAAGCATCTACTATGTCCCAATCCAGTTCTGATTATATTAGAGGTGGTTTAACGAGTCCTTGTTGGTCACAGCCATGATGGGTTTGACGTCGCCATGATCAGGAACCCACTTCGCTTTCCAGCATGCATCTCAGGGCAAGGTAGTAGAGACCTCCTAGACTTTTGGTAAGTTCCACATAGAGTCTAATAGAGCTGAGCACATGGAGTCAACAAAACCTGATGAATGAAACTGACTTCTACAACACACTGAGTTCTACCAATCTAAGGACCAATTCATCCCAAATTACCCCGTGTAGGACTTACCCCCTAGAGCCAGTTATTGCTGTTAATGCTGCATTTTTACCATTAGCAATCTAATTAATGCAAGGTATGGGGCAGGGGTATGAAAATATAAATAAGGTACCACGCCTGCACTCAGAAAGTTCAAAACCTAATGGTCCTTCCTGATGATCCATGGAGAGAGACGTCGTCTCTCCTCCATTCTTCTCCGAGGCGTTCCTTCCCTTTCGCTCACTCCCTGACCAGCCAGAAGTCCCCCTCAGCTACCACTGACAGTCTTCAGCCCAGCTGGTGGTGCCTGGGGAGAGAGGTTCTTGAGTCCCAGCCTCGGTCATGGTTATTGCTGGTAGCATCTTCAAAACAGTGAATAATTGGGGGTATAGCTCAGGGGTAGAGCATTTGACTGCAAAAACAGTGAATAATTACTGGTTCTGAAAAGCCCTGTATGCAACTCCTTTTCTTATAAAATATTAAAAAGTTTTCTACCAATATTCTTAATTAGAAGATACCAGGATATCACAGAATTATAGGGTTGGAAGGGATCTTTTGCGGATCAGGATGGAAGTAAATTTATGCAGCCGTCCCAGATCATCAACCTAATTTCCTTCCCTGAAATCTTCAAGGTGCCTGTGGCCAGCTGGC